TGTCAATCCCTTCTGCAGATTCAGCTTTCCTTGCTTTGGGTCATATGAAGTAAATAATACATAGAGACAAATAGCGCTGATAAGAGGAAGGTGGATACGTTAATAGGAAGGAAGGAATATGATGACATAAGGTCGAAGGAGGTTCACATGGAGCGTAAGCATCAGTTTGGATGAGTTGTGCTGAATATATCTGTGATACAATTTTCATGTAATCCTTATATTATATAAAATTCTCACAGTTTACTGAAGGAGAGAACTGTTTTGAGGATGCAGTTGCAGATCTAGATTTGAATACAGGACTGAAGAATTTCAAAGCTTTTCAGTGACTACTACCTAAGTCTCTGCCTTACCCACCAACCGTGCAATCCCCCCACCCCCTCCTTGTAATGTATGAACACAAGTCAGCAAGGACAACCTTATGCAATTCTGTAGAGCCACATGTGCGGATTAGTGGCAATCCAGATAAAGAGATTTAATCAGTGGGAAGACAAAGAATGTGGGATGATGCTGCAGACAAGATTAAGCGTAGGGCCCATAGGATAGCTTCTTGCAATACTTAACAGGATTTACAGTGATAGATTGGCTTTTCTTTTGTACACAGATTTCCCTGGAGAACCATGTAAGTATGAAGTTCTAACAAACCCTGGATTAATGAATATTCAAACCATGGGTCATCAGACACCAGCACGCTTTCAATGTAGAAAGTTGTCCTTGGAAATGATCTATAGAAATCAAGTTAATCGGCAAAGTTAAAAACCTCAGGCCACCCTTCCTTTTGTGTGTTCTGATCCACTTTCTCTTCTTCTTTCAAAAATGATCATTTTTATTTCAGTGAGGTCCCACAGATATTCTGTACCTTTCCCAAATGAATATTCTGGGTATTGATGAAGCCACTTTTGGAGTACTGTATACAGTTCCGGTTGCTCTGCTTTAGGAATGACATTATTAAATTAGAAAGGGGGCATAAAACTTCTACAAGTTTTACAAAAGTTACAAGGAGAGGGTGGATATTCTGGGACCTTTTTTCCACTGGTACATTGGAGGTAAAAGGATGACCTTATCGAGGTTTGTAAACCATGAGGGGCATAGATAAGATGAATAGCAAAAGTTTATTTTTCCCTAGGGTAAGGAAGTTCAAAACTAGAGGGCACAGTTTTAAGGTGAGAGGGCAAAGATTTAAAAGGGACACGAGGAGCAACATCTTCACACAGAGGGTGGTGCATATATAGAATGAACTGCCAGTGGAAGAGGTGGATGCAGGCACAGTTACAACATTTAAAAGATATTTTGGGCAGAGACATGAATAGGAAATATTTAAAAGGTTATGGGCCAAATGCAGGCAAATGGGACTAGTTTAGTTTGGGAACATGGTCGGTATGGAGCAAAGGGTCTGTTTCCGCGCTGTATGAATCTATGACTCTATTAAGCCTAGATGCTACCATGGGAGCATAATCATCAGAATTGATGGTGTTACCACCACAGTTACATGTACTCCATTGGCTGGATGGCTGGCTTGTAATGCAGAGTGGCATCAACAACGTGGGTTCAATTCCCGCACTGACTCAGGTTACTAAGATGAACTCTCCTTCTCATCCTCTCCACTTGCCTGTTGACCCTCAGGTTAAACCACTGTCAGTCATCTTTCTCTCTCTCTCCTTCTAAAGAAACAGCAGCCTATGGTCCAGCAAGACTATGGAGACTTTAGCTTTTTATATTCACTTTCTTCTAGTGGTCATTAGCAGATGATTGTCCCCAGTCCTATGACAGGCGTCGCTCTCAGGTCAACTCTATACAGAGAATATTGAAACCTTGGAGAGAGTCCAGAGCAGGTTCACAAGAACAATGCATGAAACGTGTGGCTATACATCATTATAATCCTGTTTGGAAGTGCAAACTGATTGCTTTCCTTATCCCATTTGTCCACTGGTCACAACAAAGTTTGAATTTAAAAAGGGAGGTAATATTGCTAATTACATAAATATCAGACTGTATGTAACTCAGTATCAGAAGCAAATCAACTAGCATAGGAGGTTGAGCGGTGACTTTATAAAATCAGGAGGGCTATAGATAAGGTGAATAGCAGCTGTCTTTTCCCTAGGGTTGGGGATTTCAAGACTAGGGGGCATATTTTTAAGGTGAGATGAGAAAGATTTTAAAAGGACATGAGGGGCAACTTTTTTTTAAACATGGAGAGTGGTTCATATGTGGAATTACATAATATTGAAAGAGCTGGTTTACTGCAAACAAAACTTACTTCATCAAAGATATAAAGATTGTTAACAAATGTGTACAACACTTCTTTAAAAACAAACACACAACACTTGGAAAAGAATAGAAAAACTTATCTTCACCGACAAACTGGCTCATGTGTTCTCTCCCTCTGAAAGCCCTGAAAACTTGATAACTCCATTCAAGCAGTAACTCTTTTCAAATGTATCATCAGTGACACTGTACCCTGTGACATCTGCTTTACAAACTGTTCTTTCAAAGAACGTTCAAGATATCCAAATATCTGTCCAATTGAAGATATCATTAATGAAAAATTTGAATAATCCATCTTCATATCAACATTTCGGGAAAGGATTGAGAGACTATATCTCTTTCCTCTTGAATAAAGAAGATTGAAGGGTGACCGAATGGAGCTCTTTTAAATTATGAAATGCTGTGATAGAATGGATACAAAAAAAAACATTTGCTCTTATGGTAAAAATATAACCAGAGGCCATAGAATTCAGTACCATAGGGAGTAGCTGAAGTGACTAGAATTAATACATTTATATGGAAGCCGTAAAGTACATTAGATGGTTACTGAGTTATATGAGGGAAAATAGAGGGGGTTGAAATGAACCAATGTGGAATGGTTGGAATCTATGGCCTGGATTGATGCTGTATATCCATCATAGCCCTAATTTTGTTGTAGACTGGATGTTGACCCATCTGGTTCTCAAATTCCTCTGTTGGGTTAAGATTTAGAGAGAGATTGGTGGAGGTCACAGATTTGGAAGGCACTGTTGGAGGGGCCTTGGTGAATTGCAGTAGCGCATCAGTGTTGGAGAGAGTGAAGGTGGTGAGAATGCAAATCAGGCAGGTTGCATTGCCCTGCTGGTGTCAAACTTCTTGAGTGTTGTTGGAGGTGCACTCATCTAGGCAACTGGGGAGAATTCTATTAATCTCCTACATTGTACCTTGGAGATGGTGAGCACCTCTCTGACCCGCTATCATAATATGTATTTGGCTGGTCCAGTACAGTTTCTGGTCAATTCCCCCAGACTGTTGATAGTGGGGGATTCAGTGATAGTATTGCAATTGACTTTCATGCGAAGATGATCATATTTCCTCTTCTTGGATATAGCCATCACCTAGCATGTGACAGATGTAAAGGAATTCCTGTTGTGACTTAAAAACTATTTTTAAAATGTGATCGTTGTTAAATTCAAAATACATTGTTTTATTTATCTGCCAGAATTCTATTTATGGGGTAGACTTTACTACAGGTAGGAGCAAGGGTTTTATTATGCAGGAAATGTTACAGATCCAGGGAGCTATATTTTGGTTCCATTTATCTATTAAGGGTGGGATAGTTAAGATTTTGCACCGCATCCCTGGTATCAGTTTGAAACCTTCTTTCAATAACAGTATCACAACATGGAACTGGAAATGGCCCTGGAAATTTAAAGATGGGCACTGTCTAAATTTGTTAAAATTTCAAGAGTGTGGAGACTGTTCTAACAACAGGGTGGTTGAAAGGAAGATTAGGCAGAGATGTTCAAAACATATTGGACGCTTTGATAGAGTAGACCAGGAGAAAGTGTTTTGACGTGGAGAAGGGTCAATAACAAGAGACACGGTTTTAAGATAATGAACAAAACAGCTATAGGGGAAAAGAGGAGATAAAATTGGGCAGAGTGTTGTTGCGCTGCTAAAATGCACTGTCTCAAAGATGGAAGAAGATTTAACAGTACAATTCCAAGGACAAAATGGCTATGGTGAAACAACAGAGACTAATCGTATACTATAAGAAAGATTCAACACAGGCAGTATAGGCCAAATTACGTCCTTCCAAACTAATGAACCTCAGATGCAACAAAAAAACAGTCAAATCAAATCATTCCCCAGCCTACTTCAATACATTTACTCATTTCTCCTAAAGTAGATTTAAGCTACATAACAAGCTCCCTACCACCACTGTGCATTCCAGCACTTAAACTCTTCACTGAATGAATAAAGTCTTCAGTGTTGCAATGTGTAGTTCAGATTCTCTCTAGGCAGAGACACATTAGTTAATCCTTTCCTGTGCTTGAAAGTATATCCTATAAAAAGATCTGTAGCGAATTCCATTGACTTCAGTTGTTAATAAGGTATGCAACTTGTTTTAACAAATGCTAAGGTTTAGAAATTTGATGCGGATAACACTGATGGGTCTAGGAATTTAAAAATGATAAATGTTGCAAAGTCCAAAGCTCCCCCTACCCTGGAAGTTTCTTACAGCAAATAGCTGCTCAGTATGCAAGATAATCTTTCGAACCTGCTATTTGCAGTAGACACATTTTCTTACACAGTGTGTCACACTGTTGAAAACTCATCCAGCATAAACTGCACATCAGCTCAGAATAAAGCAAGAGGGGAACACAGTTGACAAAGCAGCAAGAAAAAGAGTATGAGAATTATTTCTTTTAAAAACTGAGCAGAGGATCATGTGCTACCCGTGACATTGGATTTTTAAGTTGAATTTTATAGGTGACAATGGCGTTAAAAGACATCCGGAAGATGTTTCCCCAGAATCTTCTCTGCCTGAGAGATTTTGTGTGCTACATCATCAAATCCATTAACCCATTTAGAATTATCACCGCGTCACTGGATGAAGCTGAATCCCAACAGGTTAGAACAACTCAGCAGATATGACATCCTGACCACTCTTGACGCAGTTCTCCAAGGATGACTGAATAACAGAATGGAAAGCATGCATACACGTCCTGTAGGATAGCCCATTCAAGCATATATCAGTGAGTAAAATAATTTATTATCTCTCTTTATAATTATCAATTCATTACATGTGCTTGTTTAAGCCACACATACTCTGCTGAGGTTTCACATCAGTCCACAGCATGAGATCATAACAAACACTGTGGCAACATCAGAAAATGCTCAACTTAATTAGCTGCTGCTTTATTAAGGCACTAGTATGGCAAATTAAAAATGAAGAAACTGACAAGACTGTACATAAATTAAACACTGAAGTAAAGAAATAAAATAGCAGGTAATACGCTAACCTAAAACAGGATTTTAGACTTTATCAAAATATTAGTGTTTAACCAATTAAAGACAGAACAAGGAAGTGCATCAGTAAAACTCATAATTTACTAGTAGCATATTTTGCCATGAGATACTTATCCATACTTGCAAAGGGGTCATCAATGTCAAAATCAACCTTAAACAAAGGCTTCTGGCCTAGAGCTACATAAGCCACAATAATACAAACTTGTGCAGTGAGGCCCCAGATTGTGAATGACTTGTGTAAATGCCGGTCCTTAAACGTGAAGAAGTGTATCAACATGCTCATGTCGTAAGGTGTTGAAGAGTGCTCTTCTGACTTTAAGAAGTGGTACAATGGCAGGACAAACACGTCGCTCACTTCATCAGCATTGGGCTGTGGTTGAAATGTTTCTTCAATAAATGCCACCACCGGTGTCACCAGAATACCATCCTGTGAATGGGGGTGAGTACAAAGTAAATATTAGGATAAAAAATAAGACACAACAGAGGCGCCATAAAGACTGTCTTGAGGTTTGACAGTGGGAGATTTACAGTGAAATTAATGTGTAAAATTTTCGATAGCTCTTCCAGGATTTAATTCCCTTTTTTGAAAAAGTCAATCATTAGTAATTATCCCATCTAAAAGTGGCAACTTAAGCATAAAAAGAGTTATTTATGTTTATTCTGACAGATGTTCTGCAGTAATTAAGTACAAACTTAGTGAATTGCCATACAGCAGTTTGCAGTGTTTGCTGTGTACAAACAGCTTTCTATTCCCCTTCATCCTTTCTAGGATCCACTATCCTATGTGAAGTATCTGTACTCAGGCTTCAAAATAGCATGTTTGCCATGGCATCAGGGAAGTGGACAGACAATGGAAGTGTTTGGCTTAGCCTCCCAGGCGTTCCTTCTTTCCCTATAAGAGAAGGATCTGGCCTCCAAAATAGGAACTGGGACACAGCAGGCACAAAACCAAAGCCTGACTGATTGCATGAAACAGCTTGGTACAATATGTCAATGTCACATCCTCAAAACCTGTCCACCATCTACAAGTCAGGACTGTGGCAGAATACCCTCCACTTGCCTGGATGAGTACAACTCCGACAACATTTAAGAAGCTCATCTGCATACAGGATGAAGCAGCCCAATTGACTGATGCCACATCCAGATTCACTCCTGACACTCAATAGAAGCAATGTGTGCCATCAACAAGATGCACTGCATAAATTCACCAAATCTTCTTAGTTAGCAACTTCCAAACACACGACCAACACCATCTGGGAGGACAAGGCCTGTAGATACATCGGAATACCACCCTCTGCAAGTTTCCCTCCAAGCCACTCACCATTCTCAAATGGAAATGTATCACCGTTCCTTCAGTAATTCTGGGTCAAACACCTGGAACTACCTCCTTAACAGCATTCTGGATTTGTCACAGACTGCAGAAAGAGGCTAAAAATCTCAAGGAGAATTAGGGATTGGCAATAAATGCTGGGTCAGCCAGGAAGCCTACACCTCATGAATGAATTTGTAAAAAAGCTGATTTAGGTATTGACTTGATTTGAGTACTCAATAGCCTGGTGCGGATAGCTGACTGAAGAAATACCTGCAATCATGTACCTTGTTGATGATAGGGACCAGTTTGCAGACTACTTCCACTTGATCTGGGGGAAGGCCAATTTCTTCTTGGGCTTCACGAAGAGCTGTATCTATATCATTTCTATCCTTCATGTCTTGTTTCCCACCAGGAAAGCAAACCTCTCCACGGCTGCTGTGCAACTATAAAACCAAAATCATGAGAAATATTATTGAGCAAAGTTGAATTATGAGAATTTCTCTTTACAATGTAAAGAAATGGTATTGCAGATTTTCACCTACAGTTTAAGTTTTGGATTACAGCACTGGGCTTAAATCCCTCCTTGTGTTAGACACATGGTCAGCCATGCACTTTCTTTCTGTCACCCTTCTCCAAAGTTCACTAGCTCATGTTGGCGATAAGTTCCTTTCAGTGCCTTGACTGAGAGGCTATTCTTTTAAATCTGAACTCTGAGAAGACAAGGCAAGGCAAGCTCAATAATGTCCTCTTCTAGTGTTCATACCTGTGCACTTTCAGTTAAGAGTAGCTACCTACCTGGATAGAGACACAGGAATTGATTTATCTCTTTCTTCAGCCCCGCAGTCACTGAGGTCAGAAGATTAGATAGTTGTTACCCATTGCTGAATGGCTGTTCGGTCATACCAGGAATAAAGTGGAATCTTTCTGGTGACTGTGACTCCACTTCATTGGACTCTCATGGTTCAGTAGCGATGCTTGTACCTCTGAGCTAGAAGACACAGGCTCGAGTCTCACCTGAGATGTGTCGTACCATGTTTGAACAGGTTGATTAAAAACTAAAAAGAATTGATTCCATTCTATAGCAGGCAGCCACTATCTCACGTACGAGATGAGAGGATTGTGTGCATTGATTTAGTAGCAGTTGCAGAAGTAAGACCTTAGGAACGTTAGTACCTCACTAAGTCCCTGGAGTCTGCTTTGTCATTCAAATAGATCATGGCCAATAGGCAACATAAGTCTAATTATCCACTTTATATCCATATCCCACATTTTTATTCAAAAAGAAAAAGGAAGCATACAAAAGGTTTTGAAAACTGAAGACAGAACCCTTGAAGAACACAAAGATAGTAGGAAAGAACTCAAACAAGGAATTGGAAGGGCTGAAAGGCAAATAGGATTAAAGAAAATCCCAAGGCATTTTATACATGTTTAAGAACCAAGAAGGCAGCTAGAGAAAGGGTAGGTCCACTCAAGGAGAAAGGAGGAAATTTACGATGGAGCTCAAGGAAGTGGGTGAGGTCCTTAACAAACAATTTGCATCAGTATTCACAAAGAAGGAAGACATGGTGGATGGTGTGTCTCAGGAGGTGTATGTTGATTTTCTAGGAAATGTCAGTATAAAAAAAATGTTGGGTGTTTTGAAAAGCATTAAGGTAGACAAATCCCCAGGGCCTAATGGGATCTATCCCAGAAGGCTGAGGGAGGCAGGTGATGAAATTGTGGGGGTCTTATGTGAAACATTTGTCTCTTCTTCAGTCAAAGGAGAGGTGCCAGAGGACTGGAGAACAGACAACTCTGTTCCTTTGTTCAAGAAAGGCAACACGAATATTATAAATTACAGGCCAATGAGCCATATGTCAGTGGTAGGTAAATTATGGGAGAAGATTCTTAGGGATAGGATTTACTCACATTTGGAAAAATATGGATTTATTAGCGACAGGCAGCATGGCTTTGTGCTTGGAAGGTCATGCCTCACAAACTTGAGTTTTTTGAGGAAGTAATAAAGAAGATTGATGTGGTGGAAGGGTGCTTTTTTGACTGGAGATCTGTGACCAATGGTGTTCTGCAGGGATAGGACACTTGTTGTCTGTAATATATATAAATGCTTTGGAGGACAACATAGGTGGCCTGATTAGTAAGTTTGCAGATGACACAAAGATTGGGGGAACTGATTTAATGAGGAAGATACAGCAGAATATAAATAAGTTAACGATTTGGAAGAAGAAATGGTAGGAGTTTAATCCAGCCAAATGCGAGGTGATGCATTTTGGGTGATCTAATGCAGGAAGGAAATATATGTAAATGAAAATATATGTAGCATCAAAAACAGAAGGATCTAGGTGTACAGGTCCATAGTTCCCTACAAGTAGCAATAGGAGTGGATAAGGTGGTCAAGAAGGCATGTGGCATGCTTGCTTTCATTGGTTGGGGCATGGTGTATAAAAATCAGCAGGTCATATTGCAGATATATAGAGCTTTAGTTAGGCTACTTTTGGAATACTGTGTACAATTCTGGTTGCCACACTACCAGAAGGATGTGAAGCCTTTGGAGAGGGTACAGAAATGGTTTGCCAGGATACTGTCTGGTTTGGAGGGTATATGTTATGAGGAGAGATTAGACAATCATGGTTTGTTTGCACTTGAACGTCGAACAATGAGAGGCAACCTGGTAGAAGTTTACAAAATTATGAGAGGCATGGATTGAATGGATAGTCAGAGTCTTTTTCCCAGGGTATAAATGTCAGTTACTAGGGGATAAGGGTTTAAGGTAAAAGGGGTAAGTTTAAAGGAGATATGAAAAGCAGGTGTTGAGTGCCTGGAATGGGCTGGTAAAGGAGGTGGTAGAGGCAAATACAGGAGTAATGTTTAAGAGGCACCTTGACAGATACATGAATAGACAGGGAATAGAGGGATACAGACTGTGGAAAGAAGAAAGGTTTTTAGTTTAGAAAGTCATCATGTGTCGGTGCAGTCTTGGTGGAACTGGTTTCTGCACCACCTTGAGTTGACATTACAGAACCCAGTAACATGAAACAAATGCATTTTTGGAAAATGCTATATACTCTTGTGTGGCAGAGGCTCCCTTTCAGGTTTTTCTTTAAATTTTGTAAAGAGAAGATGCCTCTGTGGATTTCAGAACTGATAAAGGTAGTTAGTTGAGGTGCAAGTTTCCAATCTTGATATAAAAGCTGCAATTATATTGAATTCACATCCAGTTACAGGGAAATATGAATTAGTACAAACTAAATGATTCACAGATTGGAGTCTTTTATACACAGCAATACTTTGCGTGGGTCAGATGATGTCTGAACTGCAATGTCTGTTATGTCTCAGATGCTTTATATTGGGTAGGCAAGAGGGTTACATTTGGGAAGGCTTCTTTGTGTTGAAGGTAGTGTTTTCTAGGTAAACAGGAATAGCAGGGGCATATGATTGAATGTGAACTGAGGTTACATGTGCTGCCTGACTGATTAAATGAGGTGATACTAAGTTTTATTGCTGGCTACTGCAGTAAAAGCTTTTTGTCCCAAATTTCCAGTGTTGGGAAGACAAAGCCCATTCAACGTTTAACCGAGCCCTTCGAAAAGAAAAATGCACAAGCTACAAGTAGGGAAAAAAATACAATAGAAACCACAGAAAAGTACATTTGACTTCTTAGCTCCATGTTACATGGCTACTCTATTCTGTCATCACAGGCAGAGTCCCCAATAATCTAGCAGTACTTCACCATGGAAGTTCTGCATCCAGGACGGTTATATCACAAACTGGGGGGACAGACTAGGATCCAGTAGCACAGCCTAAGAGTGAAGGGGCGACCGTGAGAATTGAGATGAGGATGAATTTCTTCAGCCAGAGGATGGTTAATCTGCGGAACTCATTGCCAAGTTATTGAGTGTATTTAAAACAGAGATAAATAGGTGCTTGGTTAGGAAGGCGATCAAAGGTTATGGGCAGAAGGCAGGGGAATAGGACTGAGAATCGTATCAACCATGTTCGAAGTGTAGAGCAGATTCAATGGGGTGAATGGCCTAATTCTGCTGCTACATCTTATGGCTTTATTTACTGAATGGCATCTGCTGCTGAGTATCTAATCTTTTATGTCTTCTTTCTATTTCTCATGCAAATGATATTCCAATACTTTTAAAATTTCTCAGGTATGTCACTTGGGAGTTTTAAAAAAATCATGCCACAATTACCCCAGGGAAATTTTAAATAAAATAACATTCCATTTCAAAGCTTTTAACAAACTAGTCTTTCCATTATCTTATTCGTTGTAAATAGCGGCTAATTACCTGCAGCTTGCAGATTAAGATAATATCTATCTGTATTGTGGCATTCAATTTTTTTAATATTAATTAGCTTTCAGATATAACTGAACACTACCTCATCTTTTACTTTGATCTAATTTGCATGACAATAACTCTGTGAATCAGAGTAGAATTGGTTTGAATGGTTAGTTAATCATTCTTTCGACCAGACAGTAAAAAGAGTATTGCTGCAATTTCAGCAGGTGATTTTTTTTTTTTATTCACAGGGTGAAGATGTCACTAGCTAGGCTAGCATTTATTGCCCAATACTAATTGGCTAGAGGGCAGCTAAGAGTAGGAGCAAATTACTGCAGATGCTGGAATCTGAACAGAAAACAAAAAGTACTGGAGGTCACAGTGGGTCAGGCAGCATTCATGGAGAGAAAGCAAGCTAATATTTCAAGTCAAATGACTCTTCATCAGAGCTGAAATGAAGTGTGCAGGGGGTAGCATTTATGCAATAGTAGGAGGGGTAGTTGGAGTGTTGGGGGAGAAAGGATGTCGATAAAGAGATAACAAGCTGTAGAGCTGGATGAACACAGCAGGCCAAACAGCATCAGAGGAGCAGGAAAGCTGACGTTTCGGGCCTAGACCCTTCTTCAGAAATGGGGGAGGCGAAGGGAGTTCTGAAATAAATAGGGTGGGGGGGAGGCGGATAGTTCAGATTAAGTCATCAGAATGTGAGAATGGTAGAACTATGGTGTGTCAAAAGGAAGGAATGGATTCCCTTTCTTTTAGCTTTTCTTGTTACATTCTCTGTCACCCCTCTCCCTTTCCCCCACTCCAATGGGACTGTCTGTTCTTTCCTGTCTGACAGTTAGACACACCATTGTTCTGCCATTCCACATTCCAATCACGTAATCTGAACTATCAACATTCTTGAATTAACAGTCCAGTGAAAATACCACTAGGTCATCACCTCCCCTTATAGTGAAGGATTAATATTGCAGGGAGGAGAGCATGCATTTAGTGCAAAAGGCCTTTGACCTAGTCCTGCAGGTGTGAGCCTTGGTTAGGTTGTTCAAACCCCATGCTAAAGATTGAAGCAGTTAATCTAGCCTGACATTTCACTGATGCACTGAATGAGTACTGCACTACTGGAGGTGTTAAACTGATGCCTTATCTGTACTCTTTAGAGGTTTTAAAATATGCCATCATCTAGTGACAGCCAGCATTCCTATCAGCTACGCATGCGTAGATTTGCAGGAAGCATATAAAATTATCTGAAGCATAGATAGGGTATATTGTTGAATCTTTCTCCCATGGCAGACATGTCTAAGACCAGACGGCATAAGTTTAAGGTGAGGAGTAAGTGGTTTAGAGGGGACCTGAGGAAAACATTTTTCACCCAGAGGGTGGTAGAAATATGGAATGGGCTGCATGAGAGGGTGGTGGGGGCAGGTACCCTCACAATATTTAAGAAGCATCTGGACAGGGATTTACGACGCCAGGGACATAGTAGGCTATGGACCACGTGTGGGTAACAGAGATTAGTATTTTTTGATGAAGGGCTTGTTTCTATGATGTATGACTCTGCCTGCGCTTGTGCAGAAATTTGGCACCACGCACGTGCAACTTGCTGGTTTATCTCTGGTTGCATTGGGAAAGACCTTTTGTTGAAACACAGAGATTTGATACAACTGGATGCCTTCCTCAACTATTTCAGAATACACACAGTCCTACAGCATAGAGGCAGGCCCTTCAGCCCAAACTGGTCCATGTTGACCAAAATGTCCATCCACACTAACCCCATTTCCCTGCACTTGGCCCACATCCTTCCCTATCCATGTATTCATGCAAATGCCTTTTAAATGTTGTTAATGTACCCGCCTCAAACACTTCCGCTAGCAGCTCATTCCAAATGTGTACCACCCTCGGTGTAAAAAAAGTTGCCCCTCAGGTTCCCACTTATTCTTTCCCCTCTTACCTTAAACTGCTGCCCTCTCGTCCTCGATTCCCCAATCCTAGGAAAAAAACTGAATGCATTCACCCTATCCATGCCTCTCATAATCTTATACATAGAACATCGAACAGTACAGCACAGTGCAGGCCCTTCGGCCCACAATGTTGTGCCGACTTGTTATCCGACTAAGATCAAACTACTCTGTACACCCTACATTATACTATCATCCATGTGCCTATCCAAGAGTCACTTAAAAGTCTCTAAAGTATCTGACTCTACTACCACTGCCCGGCAGCGCATTCCACATGCACACCACTCTCTGTGTAAAGAACCTACCTCTGACATCTCCCCTATACTTTCCTCCAAACACCTTAAAATTATGCCCCCTTGTAATAGTCATTTCCACCCTGGGAAAAAGTCTCTGGCTATCCACTCTATCTATGTCTCTCATCATCTTGTACAATTCTGTAAGATTCCCCCCTCAGTTTCCTATGCTCTAAAGGAAAAAAGTCCTGGCTTGTCCAACCTCTCCCTGTAAGTCAGTGCCTTGAGTCCTGGCAACATCCTTGTAAATTTCTTTTGCACTTTTTCCAGTTTAATAACATCCTTCCTACAGCAAAATGACCAAAACTGAACACAACACTCCGAGTGCAACCTCACCAACATACTGTACAGCTGCATCATAACTTCCCAACTTCTTTACTCAATGCCCTGACTGATGAAGGCCAGTGTGCCAAAAGCATTCTTCACTGCCCTGTCTACCTGTGACTCCATTTTCAGAGAACTGTGCACCTGAACTCCAAGGTCCCCCTGTCCCACTACACTCCTTCAGGCCCTACCATTCACCATGAAACTCCTACCTTGATTTGACTTTCCAAAATGCAACACCTCACGCTTATCTATATTAAACTCCATTTGCTGTTTCTCGGCCCACTTCTCCAGCTGATCAAGATCCTGCTGCAAATTCTGATAACCTTCCTCACTGTCCACGATACCATCTATTTTAGTGTCATCTGCAAACTTACTAATCATGCCTTGTACATTCTCATTCAAATCACTGATATGGATAACAAACAGCAATGGGCCCAGCTCTGACCCCTGAGGCACACCACTAGTCACAGGCCTCCAGTCCAACAAGCATTTTTCCACTATTACTCTCTGCTTGCTACTACTCCATACGTATGTTGACCAGTTCATGTAAGGATGGTCATTTCCTTCACGACATTTGGGTGAACCAATCAGATTTACTGCTCATTCTGAGAACTTTACAGCCACTTTTTATTTCCAACTTGTTTTTAAAGATAAGTTCAATTTCTCAAACTCCTCCGGTGAGATTCGAACTTGCATTCTATGGGTTACTAGTTGAGGCTTCAATTATGAATAACTGAATACTATAAACAATGCAATACTGTACAAATTTACTGAGGTACTCTTCTCTCAACTTACCATGCCAGATCTCACTACAAACTCCTCTGCCTCCTATCTAGGGAAGATAATAACACAGTAGTGCTGTTGTTTATCCTCTGGGGAAATGACTTCAAATCCCACCATGGCAGTTGGTGGAATTTGAATTCAATGCAAGTCAATCTCAGTGGCGATGCGACTATGACAACAATCACTAATTCTAGTAAAAACTTACGTCATTCACTAATGTCCTTTACAGAAGAGAATGTGCTGTCCTAACTAGGTCTGGTCCACATATGACTCCAGATGCACAATAATGCTCTCTTGGGAATAACCAACAAATGCTGGCATTGTCACCAAGACCACATCTCATTGTAGTACCATATCCTTATGACTAACCTTTTCTCCCACATCACAACTTACACTAGGAGCTATCTCATCCCTTATCCCCAACAAGATCCCACCCTTTCCACAGCCTTCAATTCACATGGGGGTTCTCTTCTTCTCTCTCAGTATTAATTCTCCACTAGTTGAGTCCAACTGGTCTAGGGACCCAATCTTGCTAAATTGTGAGAAACATGGAGCAGCACTATGTTGGCAGTACAACATTGTAGGGTGCTGGTGGGGAGCATTATTCACATTCATTTTTATCAGCGAACTTCGACAAGCAGATTCCAACCTGTGTTGGATGCCCATACGAATCATGAGTAGTTGGCATGCATATTGTAGCATGATACAAACGGGAATACTTCTAAAATCTAATGAAAATTAGATGTTGCTAACTGGAAAACACCTGACGGTAAATGCTTCCCATGGACAGTGCCTGGCAGTGAAGTAGTTGACTTCTCTTGAGGCATCAATTCCCCATGATCTTAAAAGGCAGTCTGCCCTGTGATATGAAGTTGATTAAACATTAAAAAAAACGTTTAAACAATCAAAACCTAATTACAAATAGAATGTAATCTTACAAGGGGCAGCTCTCATGAGCTAAAAGTATGCTCTTTAACAATATTAGTTTAGGAAGACCAAAGGGTTTGTTTTCGTGCTTTACGACTCTATAACTTCATGCCAACTGAAACTGATAGAAAAGCTGAGGACTGTGTGAATGAAAATTCTGGATCCAAGAGTTCAATGGGCAAAGCTCCCCATTCTGATACAAACTAAGATGAATACCGCTGTACTCTCTATTTCTCAGTACTGTACCTTCATGGATCTGACTGTAAGAAGTACATGCAGCTCCTCGTTTTTTATGAACAGGGGCACTAGCACTGATGCTCTGGGAAGGGTCAAGTCTGAGTATTTATTTCCTACATCATGTGTCTTCAGCACGTGCTTCACGTTCTCTTTAATTGATGAGCTAATAAGAAACAAAATAAGAAATATCACAGGCTGAAACAGAGTTCCAGTTTGAAGACTTGTGACAGCATTTGCTGCAACTGCCTGTAGATATTGCAATCTGCCTCAGAATTGTGACTTGGCACCTTAAAGATGAAAATGAGTCAAAGAAAAAAGTAAAGTTATCTCCTATTTGGTTCCAGCGACAGCCATGTTTTAATTCAAGGTCAGATTCACAACACAGGAGAGGCAATTATAAAGTGTGGAGTCATGTTTCTAATCATAGAATCACAGAATTTTAGAATCCACACCGACCCTCTGAAGAGCATCCCACCCAGACCTATTCACCCTACCCTATCCTTGTAACCCTGCATTTCCCATGACTAATACACGTAGCCTGCACATCCCTGGAACAGTATGGGCAATTTAGCATGGCCAATCCACCTAACCTACACATCTTTAGACTTCGGGAGGAAATCGGAGCATCCAGAGGAAACCCATGCATACATAGGAAGAATGTGCAAACCCCACACAGACAGCTGCCCAAGGTGGCATTGAACCTGGGTCCCTGGTGCTGTGAAGCAGCAGTGCTAACCACTGAGCCATCCTTCCGCTTATTTACTGAGAAAAGTCATTTAGTGATTTTAGGTAAACATTAGCACAACATTTCACAAATATAAACTGGAGAAGTAAAAAACCTGAAGTGTGAGTCAAGTATGTTCAGCTGGACAGAAACCTGTGCTTTTGTAACAACAATATTAACTTGGAGAGAGGATGTTTAGCTAATTGATCCAAAGTGCACACACTCTCATTGAATCATTTATCTTCAAATAAACTCCTCAGTTAATTACAGTATTACAATCACCCTGCAGTTTTCTAGTATTGTAAAGATACACAGACAGCACAGCTGTAGTTTTGGCATTCTTGGCATTTTCTCCAGCAGAAATGTTGATATGATTTACAAAGATTTTAACGACAATGAGCTAAAATCTCCTAGAATTTGAATTGCACACAACTTCTTCTTACATTGAAGTAATGACCCCATTATCATTAATCTTTTTGACTGAATATCATTATAAATCAATGACAAAATGTAAATTATCAGTTACAATGCAGCAGTGGCAACAAACGCAGAATGCTCAAAAACAAAAAAACACATTATAAATAAATAGTTATCAGGAAATGTTCTCAAACTAACTGAGCCTTACACCCATCAGCACCACGGTGCTCCTTTCACAAGTAGCCCAAACTTCAAACACAAAGTAGTGCAAGTACCCTTTACATCACTTCAAGAATCACAAGAAGCCCACAGCAAGGAGCACAGCCCTAAACCCAGTAATTAACCACTCCCACAATACCAGTTTCCATTTTCAAATTTTTGCAACTGTGCCTTGTATATACTTTTTTTTTTGAAATTGTTGGAAGTGATTAATGTGGCTCAGTGATTAGCACTATTACCTTTCAGTCTGAAAGCTGTGGATTCATGTTTCACTCCAGGGATTATAACATACAATCTTGTCTGGTATTTTAGAGTTATATTGAAGGAGCATCACATTGATAGAGGTAACGCAGCATGGAGCTGGAGGAACACAGCAGGCCAGGCAGCATCAGAGGAGCAGGAAAGCTGACGTTTCGGGTCGGGACCCTTCTTCAGAAATGGGGGAGGGCAAGGGGAAGGGGGGGCTGAAAAAAATAGGGGGGGGGGGGTGGGGCGGGGGAAGGTAGGTGGGATGGTGATAGGTGAGTGCAGGTAGGTAGTGGTGGGTATTGGCAGTGACGTTGGAGGTGCAGATAGGTGGGAGAGAAGACAGACAGGTCAAAGAGGTGGGGATGAGAGGGGCTGGGGAAGGGAGGTGGGATGGCAATAACTTTCGGGGCGCCCACCATGCCGCCTGCTCGTCCTTCCGTTCGAGTCGCCCAGCCTGGCACCTCCCATCGAATTTCTGGGCTCTCGTCCCGCATTGTCCCCTACCCCATCCCGGTCAAACCTGCCGCAGTCTTATATCGGGAGACATAAGAGAGAGAGAGCGACCTTCCCTGTTGTGCCATGCCACCGCCGAGCTGTTTTCCACACGGGCTAACGACCAGCGAACGGACCAACCGAATGCCACGCGGCAGGGAGCTCGAGCGGCTCGGTGTAATGCTACCAACATCCCAAAGCGGCGCCCTCTGGTGTCCTGGAGTAATAATATCAACCTCCCCGAGCAGCGCCACCTCGCATCGCGGAGTTGTTCTACCACCTTCCGAAGCGGTGCCCCCTGGCGCTTAGGAGTGCTGCTATCAACCTCCCAATGCAGCGCCATCTGGCCTTCCGGCTGAGCTGCTCCTTCCCATTTATTTTGATTTACCATGTAGAGTGTTATGCAAACAGGCCAGTCTTTAATTGGAAAAGAGTGCCCCCAGTGGCTTTACAGCTGATAAAGTACCTTTCGAGATGTAACCATTGTTGCAATGTAGGGAATGCAACAACCAATTTGCTCACAGCAAGCTGCCAAAAACTGCAGTGAGATAATTATCTGGTGACAGCAAGGTGCAGGGCTGGATGAACACAGCAGGCCAAGCAGCATCATAGGAGCAGAGAGGCTGACGTTTCGGGCCTAGACCCTTCATCAAAAAAGGGGGAGGGGAAGAGGGTTCTGAAATAAATAGGGAGAGAGTGGGAGGCGGATAGAAGAGGGATAGAGGAGAGGATAGGTGGAAAGGAAACAAACAGGTCGAAGAGGCGGGGATGGAGCCAGTAAAGGTGAGTGTAGGTAGGGAGTTAGGAAGGGGATAGGTCAGTCCAGGCATTCCACTCCCGTACATCTCAGTTGTCCTCGTTTTTCAAGGACCGTAACTTCCTCCCCTCGGTGGTCGAGAACGCCCTCAACCGTGTCTCCCACATCTCCCGCACCTCATCCCTCACACCCCGTCCACGCAATAAGAACCAAAAAAGAATCCCCCTCGTCCTCACGTACCACCCCACCAACCTCCGGATCCAACGCATCATCCTCCGACACTTCCGCCATCTGCAATCCGACCCCACCACCAAAGACATCTTTCCCTCCCCACCCTTATCTGCTTTCCGGAGGGACAACTCTCTCCGTGACTCCCTTGTCCGCTCCACACTCCCCTCCAGCTCCACCACACCCGGCACTTTTCCCTGCAACCGCAGGAAGTGCTACACCTGCCCCCATACCTCCTCCCTCGCCCCCATCCCAGGCCCCAAGAAGACTTTCCACATCAAGCAGATGTTCACCTGCACATCTGCCAATGTGGTATACTGCATCCGCTGTACCCGGTGTGGCTACCTCTACATCGGGGAAACCAAGCGGAGACTCGGGGACCGCTTTGCAGAACACCTACGCTCGGTTCGCAATAAACAACTGCACCTCCCAGTCGCGAACCATTTCAACTCCCCCTCCCATTCCTCAGACGACATGTCCATCCTGGGCCTCCTGCAGTGCCACAACGATGCCACCCGAAGGTTGCAGGAACAGCAACTCATATTCCGCTTGGGAACCCTGCAGCCCAATGGTATCAATGTGGATTTCACAAGTTTCAAAATCTCCCCTCCCCCTACCGCATCCCAAAACCAGTGCAGCTCGTCCCTGCCTCCCTAACTTGTTCTTCCTCCCACCTATCCCCTCCTCCCACCTCAAGCCGCACCTCCATCTCCTATCGACCAACCGCATCCCGCCCCCTTGACCTGTCCGTCCTCCCTGGACTGACCTATCCCCTTCCTAACTCCCTACGTACACTCACCTTTACTGGCTCCATCCCCGCCTCTTCGACCTGTTTGTTTCCTCTCCACCTATCCTCTCCTCTCCTCTATCCCTCTTCTATCCGCCTCCCACTCTCTCCCTATTTATTTCAAAACCCCCTTCCCCTCCCCCTTTTCTGATAAAGGGTCTAGGCCCGAAACGTCAGCCTCTCTGCTCCTATGATGCTGCTTGGCCTACTGTGTTCATCCAGCCCTGCACCTTGCTGTCTCGGATTCTCCAGCATCTGCAGTTCCTACTATCTCTAATTATCTGGTGATCTGATTTACTGATATTGGTTCAGAAAATAAGTACTGGCAGCCAGAAATCCTCTGAAATAAAGGCACTGAGTTTTTGTCATCCACTTGCAAATATTTTCCGATTAACCTATTTGGCGATATTATGACAAACCACTGGTGCAGGTGGGAATTGAACCTGAGCCCCTAGCTTAGAGCTAGGGCCACTACCACAGTTTCACTGTCACTAAGTGCCTCTGCTTAACGTCTGGCCTGAAAAATGGCACTGGAATGGATTTCAGCCTTTGTGTAATAGATGTACTTTTGCCTCCGAAAAATTCAAAAATAGTTTCGATTCCAAGCCTCGTACCTGTCCAGTGTTTTCAGTGCAAAATCTAGGCTGACTGAGGGTGTTCTATACTGGCCAATGTGCAACCTTTGTGTTGAGGCTTTGAACCAAGGCATTGCCTGCTCTCTCAGGTAGATATAAGATACGTAATGGCTCCATTCAAAGAATAGCACAAATCTGTCAACAATTCAGCAAACAACACTTAGCCGACACTAGATGATAAAACAGACCACCATTGATCAAATTGCTGCTTCTGGAATTGTTCTGTGCTAAGTTTGGTTAATGCATTTCTCTACACTAGAATAGTTTTTTGTTATTCACTAATGGGACAAAGGACAGCGCCATCTGGACTAGCACTTATTACTCATCGATAGTTGCCCTTGAGAAGGTGGTGGTGAGCTGCCTTCTTGAACTGCTGCAGTCCATGTGTTGTGGTAGACCCATAATGTCATTAGGGAGGGAATTCCAAGATTTTGACCCAGCAACACTGAAGGAATGGGGATATATTTTCAAGTCAGAATTACGAGCGGCGTGGAGGGGAACTTGCTCTCCATGTATCTATTGACCTTGTCCTTCCAGGTGGAAGAAACAATGTGTTTGGAAGATGCTGTCTAAGTCTCTTTGATGAATTTCTACAGTGCACCTTACAGATAGTCCATACTGCTGCTACTGAGCATCGGTGGCGGAGAGAGTGGATGTTTGTGGATAATAGTATCTGAAAAATAGAATGCCAAACACACTTGTTCTCTGTCCAGATTTCAGGCCTGGGTACACTAACTTGTTAAGACTCAGTTTCTCCTGATAGTTCTATCCTTTCCTTTTGGTTTTAGTAGACATTTTATTCATTCATGGGATCAATTGGTTTGGACAGTAGTTATTGCCCATCTCTAATTGCTCTGGGGAAGATGGTGATGTACCGTCTTCTTGAACCACTGCAGTGTTTTCTTAGGAATCTTTTAATTATTGTGCATCTTCTCCGGTGCATCTACATCATCTCTGTAAATTGGAAACCAGCACTGTGCACAGTGCTCACAGCATTCAATTTGAGCAACCAGCTTGAGCCAGATCACAGTGTACATCTTCCACTCTTCCTTCCCTCACCACTGGAAACCAGAATTATGTCATTAAGACACTGTGAAGGAGCTTGACAGGGAAGACACTGAGATCATTTACCCATTCAGTCACAGAATCTAATGCACGAGGGACCAATCGTTTAGAGTTGAGATGAGGAGAAATTACATTCAGTCTAAGGCCTATGAATCATTGGAATCTCTACTCCAGAGAATAGTGGATGCTCCATTGTTGAGCACGTCTAAGAGAGGCAGGATTTTGGTCTTTCAGGGAATCAAAGGATTTGGGGAGTGAGCAGGAAAAGCGGAGTTGAAGCCCAAGGTCAGTCATGATTGAATTTAGTAGTTCAGCAGGCTTGATGGGCTGAACGATCCACTTCGAGTTCTATTTTTGGTGTTCTTTCTTGTCCTTCAACTTCTTCGGTAGAGGCCAGTCATTCACTGTGGTCTTGACTTAAAGAATATTTTTCCCCTTCGCTGACTCAGTTCGGACTCTCCCTATGTTCAACATGGTCTGCCAAAAAAAAAAAAATCCTTCACTCGACCTTTAGACACCTCTATTAAAGTTTCTCTATTTCCAACTCAACATTCTACCTTTTGATCAAGTGTCCTGAAATTTTAGGATACATTTCTGAGAGTGCGGTCTGTAAAGGTGTCCGGGTTTGACTCAATTGCCTCGTCTGACCTAACTTTGATCCTTAAGCTGTAACGATGCAGGACAATAATGCAAATAATGGCAAGATACCACAGATGCTGGAGATCTGAAACAAACAAAAACATGGGTCTACCTGGGTCTGAGTCCCTCCAAACTCTATTCAACAACAAACAAGATTTACGAGTTTGGAGGACCTTGCACGTTCACCTCGAGAGAAGGGCCTCGATTTAATACCTTATTCAAAGGATGTACAGTACCTCTGACAATACAGCAGTGTCTCACTGATAACCTTGGTCTATTGGTACTCCAGTGTCAGGGAACTCAGTTTTGTGAATTCAGAGATTGACCCACTGGCTAAGCCTGAAACCTACATTCAGAAATGTCATTAAAATGATCATACAATTCCATTTTTAACACTGAATTCTCATCTTGGTGTGACAGCTGATGCCAAAGGTTTGTTTTAAGGATTTGGTGCAACAGTTGGAGCTGAATCATAGTATGTGCCCCCTCTGCTGGACAGTTCCCAGTAAGACTGGTTGCAAGGAAACGGAACCGGGGGACCAGAACTTCTCAATATCATAGAGTCAAAGGAAATTAAGGCACATTCGGCCCATTGCGTCTGTGCCAGATAAAAAGAGAGTTATTCAACCAAATCTGACTTTGAGCTCTTGGTACAGTGTCTTATAGGTTACAGACCTTCAAGTGAATACCCAAATTCAAGCTTCTGTTTTTGCCACATTTCCACTGGTGAGTCCCAAGCCCAACCACCCACTGCTGTCATATTACACCCCAAGGTAGCTTCAACAACACCAACAGTCTCACTGCCAATTTCCACCTCTTAGCATTCGACTCACTCCCGGCTGATTTAAAAATAAGAATTAAGAGCAGAACAATACCATTTCAGTGCCTCAAGATCTGATTGTGACCTCCACTTCATTTTACTGCCTACCTTTTTAACACTCGTGTTAATTAAGAATCTATTGAACGCTGCCTTAAAAATATCAAAGGACCCTACCTCCATACGCTCTGGGGAAAAGAATTCCATCGACTTACAACTTACTCACAGCAAAAAAAAAAAAATTCTCATCTCCATCTTAAAAGGGGAATCCTTATT